CTAAGTCCCCTTACCCCCCCCCCCCCAAGTCTCCGCCCGCCTCTCCAGCGTCCCATTCCGGTTCTCGTTGCCTGCGCTGCTTCTGCCGTCTGCTGTACGCCACCTGCCGGCCGTGTGCGGAAACGTGGATTCGCCCCGCCACATCCCTGTGGTGTGATCCTGGTTGCACCTTTGGACAAGGGTCTTGCGCAGGACCCCTCCCCGAGCCGACGGCTCCGCCTAGCGGTCTGGGAGAAGAGGGTCCCCGTGGCCCACCTTTCCTCGAAGGCAGCTGAGTGTGGGTGGAGCTGCACCTCCGTGCTCTGGTTGTGATAGTGAGAGCAGGTCTCGTCGATGTTGTAGGCTTCGACCTTGTCCGACCAGTCCCTCTCGCATGTCTCCTTGAGCTCCCGGTTCAGCCTGGGGAGGGCAGGGCTGCCATGGAGCCTTCATCCTGACCAGGGGGCCATCACCCAGCCAGCAGTATCCAGGACCCTCCTCCACCTGCCCCGACTGTGGGCGTTGGGACAAAGGCTAGGCCTGGATGTGCTCCCACCCCAACAGCCCCTTTCCTCCAGAGCCACATGGTCGTGTCCCTCGATGTACAGCCACTCTGGAGGCTCCTACAACCCACCGTATCTGGTCTACAGCTTGGAGGATGGTTCTCTTCAGGAGCTCCTGAATGTTCCGGATGAGCTCAGCCTCCTTGGGAAAGAAGGGGCGAGGAAGAGGCCCCTCCTGAGCAGTGGCACTTGTCCCTGGTCCCCACGTTATGAGCCACTCGTGGTCAACCCCCAGGCGTCAGGAGGAACTGGGGCTCAGCCCTGACACCTTTACCTCCTGCCACTACCTCTGACCCCACCACAGTCTTTTTTTCCTGGGGAACAGGGCCAGTTCTTTCTGGTTAGGTTTGTAACCATTCTTTTTGGTATGTTCTTTTTGATAGGGTCTTTTCTTCCAGGGACTTCTAGAGGCTGCTGGGAGGGTCACCCTTGCAGAGATTCCCTAGGCTTTACCCCTAAAGTCCATCCAACGCACTGAGGGCCATCAGCTTACTGAAGCCTCTGAGGAGCCCAAGCCCCCAGGGTACCTGAGCCCCACTCTGCGGGGCTTTTTCTTTTTCTTTTTCTTTCTTTCTTTCTTTCTTTCTTTCTTTCTTTCTTTCTTCCATAGGGTTTCACTATGCCATTCAGCTTGGTCTAGAACTTACTTTGTAGGCCAGGCTGATCTTGAATTTGAAGAGATCCTCTTTTGTCAGCCTCCTGAGTGCTGGGATTATAGGCATGTGCCACCATGCCTGGCTTCCCTGCATTTCTTTTTCTTTCTTTCTTTTCTTCCTCCCTCCCTTCCTTCTTTCTTGTGTTTGGTGCTAGATTGAACCCGTGGCCTTTGCACTCAACTCCATCTCCAGCCATTTTTATTTTTTATTTTGAGACAGAATCTAGCTAAATTGCTAGGTTGCCCAGGCTGGGCTTGAACTCGCAACCTTCTTAGCTCAGCCTCCCAGAGTCCTGGGATTACAAGTACACACCCCACCTACTGTGTCTGAATTTCTACCATGTCAGCAGATGTCCCAACTATGGCAAACTGGGACTGGGAGAACCTTATGTTTCAGCCTGAGGGAGATCAGGGTCAGATTTAATTTCGTCAAACTTACACGAGCTGAAAGAGAGGAGGGGGTCCCAAAAGCAAGACAGTTTCTTGGAAGTCAAGGGTTTGTGGGAGCAAAAACTCTTCCTTGACAAAAGAACCAGGTTTCCTGCACCCAAGGGTCCTGAGTGGGCCAGTAGGGCACTGCTCCCTGGAGCCGTGAGCTGTCCTTCTGTACTGTCCTCCCAAAATGGTTGCCCACCCCGGCTCTGAGGTGAGGGGCAATACCTTCAGCAGCTCCATCTCCACATAGTCGCGCACAAGGTCTGGGTGCTGGCGGCACTCACGGCACTGCAGGTGGTCAGTGCACATGGAGAAGGGCAGGGCAGTAGCATCCAGGGCACGCTCCAGCCGCTGCTTCTGGGCCTGCAGCAGGTCAGTCTCTGCGGTCAGTGCATCCACCTCCTGTTGTAGCTCCGACTTCCAGCAGTGGGTATCCTCCAGGCGCTCCCCCAGCCTGCGTGTGGAGTCCTGCTGTGTGCGCTCAGCCAGCACCTCTGTCTCTGTTGCCAGCTGCCTGCTCTCATGCCGCTGCCGCTCTGATGCATCTCGGTCAGCCAGCGCCTGGTGGTAGCGGGCGTAGCAGTTTTGAAACCACTCATCCACCAGGTACTTGGCTGTGCGGAAGCCAGTGGTGGCCAGGCCCGAGGATGTGTGGGCGCCCGTGTTACAGGCCACCTCATACTCTTTGGGTGGCAGTGCACAGGGTGGTACCGTCTGCGGGGCTGGCTGCCGGGTCAGGAGCACATCTGTCTGTGCCATAGTGCCAGCGCTCAGCCAAGGAAGGGTGGGTCAAGGGGAGGACCAAGGGGAGGTCAGCAGGGCAGCACCTGCAGCTCTGTCCCAGAGCAAGACAAAGCTCTGGTCACCCAGGGACGCAGTACACACAAGGCTTCCTGTTGCCCAGCAACAGGACCTCCCTCCCCCGCCATGGGGTGGCAGGACTGCCCTCTTAAAGGGACAGGTGGCCACAGCCCTTCATGTCCTACTTCAAACATGGCCTACGCAAGTGCAGCCCAGAGGTCATATCAGCTAGAGCATCCTGGGCTCAGTCCCAGACCTCTGAGTCTCAGCCCCTGAAGCCCTACCCCTTTATGGGCTCATTTGTCCTTCTGGGACTGTTCTTAGTCCACATCCTGTTCAGGATCTGTGCTCAGCTATGAGCCAGAGGGACCAGGCTCTCGCCCCCTGGGGACTTTTTGGGACAGGAGCTGGCACTGTGGGGTGATTGGTTTGGGGCTTATTTTGCAAGGGGAACAACATAATACAGGACACATACTTTATATGATTATTTATAAGTCACCCAAAGAACAGTATACAAAAGAATGCAGGAAATCTGTCCACACACTAAGACCAAGGAATCCAGCTGAGGGCCTGGATCCCACAACAATGTCCTACATGAGTCGAGCTGAATACCCGGAGCTCATAACAATGCCTCCCATGAATCCAACTGAAGGCCCAGAGCCCATGACAACGTCTCATGCAGACCTGTTTCATGGATCTGCTGGAAAGGCCCAAAAGTCAGTGGTGGAATCTACAAAGTCTGTGCCAGCAGGAAGAAGGACCTGTGCTAGCAGGCTGAGGGATCTGCACTGGAGCCAGAAAGTGATGCTCAGAAGAACCAGAGCTCCCCAAAAAGGTACCACAGCCATCCTCGGCAGCAGTGAGGTCCCGAGCTCCTCCGATGATCAGGATGGCCGAGTTCCTATCAGGGAAGTCAACGCAGCAAGCTTTTCCAGGAGGCTGGCAGTGCACCATCTTCCCTTCCGGAACCAGGAAGCGATGCTCAAAGTGAGGACCAGAGCTCCCTAAAGTGAACCGAAGCCATTCTCAGTGCCAGCAAGGTCCCGAGCTCCTCAGAGGATGAAAACAGCCAAGTTCATCAGGAAAGCCAGCTCCCCACAGTTTCTCTCAGCTCCCAACAGCCTGCTTCTTCTCCAGGTCTGTCCCTTATGCTGCTGGCAACAGTCCTCAGGTGCGCCTCCCACACCCAGCACCACTCACTCAGTTCAGCTGGGGGTTACAAGTTGACCACCAGTTATCAATCTACTACAGTGATGTACTGTGACATACCAACATGCTCAGGGTCGTGTACCAGCTGTGACTATGCTGCCAACCTTCACAGCCCTATCGGTGGCTCCTCTCCCATCCCAGTGGCCCAAACCAGCCTACTCTCCTCCACCCTGTAGACCCATGATGAAACCATGCTGAGCAGTTTGAGCCTTTCACGGTCCTGGAGGGCAGGAGCCTTACTCGCCTCTGCCCTCCTCCCTACTTGTGAAGGTGAACCCAGGGCAGCACCCACTGGAGACCTGGTCCCTCTGTGGCTGCTGCCTGAGAGCCAGAGGCTCCCCTCCCCATACCCTTGTTCCCTCCTTTCTTGTCCCAGCGGGGGACCCCTGGGTCCTTAAGAAGTAGATATACCCTCTGAAGGGTATTGGATTTGACATCTGCTTCACAAGGAGAACTCTGATCCTGTCCAGGTTGGCTGTCCCAAGGCCACCCAAGGCTGAGCTTTGTCGTGGGGGTCCTCAGGAAGCGCCTTGGACCAGGGGAGCCAGCCTAGGGCGATACCCATCACGGCCAGCAGAGGGCGCCCTTGGCTGTGGAATGCTGCCAGGCACTGGTTCCCTGAATGCTCTCTTCCTGCCTTGGCTTCCCTAGAGGTGCCCCCCCCACCCCCAGTCTTAGCAGGAAATGCACTCCCCTACCCCAGCACCGGTCAGCAGTGGCAGCACCTTCTACTTCCTCTTCCACCATTGTCCTCATCCCACACTCCAGCCCCTGGGGCCCCAGGTTCCTCTGACTCACCCAGCTGTGCCCTCCTGGTGCCCCCTCCCCTCAGTAGCCAGCCCCTCACCCCACACAGCTGTCCTCAACATGTATGCCTGGCTCTCAGTATCTGGGTGGGGTGGACTATGGCATTTGCACTGTCTGGCACACAGCAGATGCTTCATAAATGTGGGCTTAGGAGGTAGTAGCCCTGTGACCTCCACTGACCCAGACCCAGCCAGAGTTCCAGCTATCCTTCAGAGGTGGGAGGTCCGGGACCCTCATGGATTGATGTGGCCTGAACAACTTTCTTGAACCCTTCTGTGACTCAGTTTCCCCAGATGCTAGCAGACATAGCCCTCCCCCCCATATACACCCAGGACCCATGGGCCCACCTGCTGTGTAGAGACTGTTTTACATGCTTCTTTTCTCATAGCTGGAGGAGAGGGTACCGCTAGCACTTATTCCTGGCCTGCAGGCTAAGGAGACTGTAGAAGACACCTGGCTGGATCCAAGATCAGTGACCCCAGGTGACCCTCCGCTCAGCATCCAGGTACCAACAGTCCTGCTCCCATGGGCCTCCCAGGCTAACAGGAAAGGCCAGTGTCAACACAGACTCCAGATAACCGGACAGTTCCCAAGGCAAGGCTCTGGCCCTCCAGCCCTATAGGCAGATGGATTGGGATTGGCCACGGGGCTGGGCCTTTGTCCACACCACTCATCCTTAGCCCAGAAGGGAGAGTCATTCATGAGGTGAAAATGTCCACACGTGGTTTTCTCACCTAGGGAAGGATGACACCCAGCAACCGCGCAGGGCTGCCCCGGGCACCCAGCGCCTCGCACTGTCTCTTGACATCTTCCTACTCTGCATGGCCCAGACCTCATGAGTAAATCAGGGCTGTGTGTGCAAGGCCTGTGGGGCAGCAGGATGGGCACAGCCACCACGGAAGCAAAGCTGCATAGGGACAGGTGGTGTTCAGGCTTATTGAATTTGTTTGTTTCCAAATTACATTTGTGCTGGGAAAATTGAGTCTTGGGCCTTGTCAGGGTTTCCTAGGCTCCCAGTGCCCTCCTCCCCAAAAGTACTGTGGACGTCAGTGGGACCGGAAAGGCATTGAGCCCCATCCAGATACTTCCTCTCCCAGGGGTCCCTGAAGAATACCCCAACCAAGTCTTTGAATACCCTCTGGGCAGACAAATCCTGTCAGGTCTTACCTCACAGACCCCAGGGTGCTGGTAGCTCTCAAGCCAGGGCAAAGGAGTGGCCAGCAGAGCCCCAATTCAGGCCCAGAGAGATGGGGAGGAGCAAGGATAGCTGGGTGTCTGCACTCAATGGCTGAGGAGTGGTGGGCTCCAAGTCATGGCTCTGCAATGCGTCTCCTGTGACAGGAATGACCAAGAGGGACCAAGGGGCTTCTTGGGTGCTGGAGGACCAGCAGAGGCTGCACTGGCCCTGACTCACTCCGCCTCTGCATTCAGGGTCCTGCTGGCTCCTGGCCTTAGGCCGGCGCAGAGGTGGCTGTGGAGCTGATGCCCCGGTTGTGGCGCTTCAGACACTGGCTGTCTGCGGAGTTGACTTAGGCACCAGAACCAGTGATCCTGGCACAGCTTTGGAAGCAGTGTGACCCTACTTGACCTTCTGTCCCCATACTGGACTCAGATGCCATGGGGTCACTCTGAACCATCCATGAGGACTGTCCCGGAACTCACTTCTGGGGTGGGCTGGGCCCCAGAGGCCCCTCCTGCTGGAGCCAGCCACCCTCAAGGACAAAGGCTCCTCCTCTGCTCTGTCTCCAGCCCAGAAGATACCAGATGGGGAGGGCAGCCTGTCACCTCTGCTCAGCCTCACAGCCTCCACCCATGACAAGTGCTTCTCAGGAGGCCCTGGTAACCGAGATGGACCCAAGGTCACACAGACCTGATGGTGCCGGCAGAGGAGAAGGTAGACAAGAGACTTAGTCATCTGGCTGCCATGGGCCTGGGAACCAGCCTCCCATTGGCTCTCACTTGAAGTGACAGCTCAAGGAACCATCCAGGCTGGAACTGAACCACTTGAGGGCGTGGCAGGCCATGCATCCCTTGTTTCTCCTAGGGACAGTGGAGCATTTTAGTGGGAGGGTTTGAAGTGGCTCAGGCAGCCCCGAGCAGGCCCATCAGTGAGGCCAGCTGAGCACTGTCACAGGTGCATGAAGTCACTGAGAAAGGTGCTGTGCCCTGGAGCTGGGGCAGCAGGGGGAGGGTAGGCCTAGGACAGTTTCCTGGAGGAAGAGTACCTGAAGGGCATAGTCCGGATGGACATTACACATGCCATGTCTGCGGGGTGGCTCCTCTCTGAGGGTCCCCAAGGCCGCTGCAGAAGCATCCCTTTCTGTAGAGAGGTGTTAATCCCTGAAAGGTAGACTGAGGCTAGGAGTGTGGGGTAGGCAGCAGGCTGGGCAGGGAGGCTGGGTCTCCCACATAGAGCCAGGTGGCCGAAATATTAGTGAGCACATTCCATCCCCATCACTGAGATATCCCACTTCTGGGGTGTGCCTGGGCCGTATCAGCCCCCCTGGGTCCAGCCAGTCAACTGAGGTCAAAGCTTTTCCCTCTGCTCTGTCCCCAGCCCAGAAGGCAGCAGATGGGGAGTGCAGCCTGTCACCTCTGCTCAGTCTCACAGCCTTCACCAGTGACAAGTGCTTCCCAGGAGGACCTTGGACACTGACCTACCCACCTCTCAACCAGGAAGGCAGAGCGCAGTGGCAGGGTGCTCTGGAGCATGGCACTTTAACTCCAGCCACTTGTCTGAAGCGGGCAGCTGGGGGAGCTTGGAGGTATAGGGACGGTTTACAAAGAAATATCTACCCAGTGAAGTCCAACAGACATGGAAGGACTGGGCGGGTTAGAGGGGAGGGGGAATTGGGGCCCCAAAAGGCCCCGCTGAGACTTGACAACAGCAGAGCAGGACCTCTGCTCCTCCCTCCCCTCCCCCGCCGGCTCTGCCTCGCCTCCCCTGCCTAAATCCCGCCACCTGTCAACCAGCCACAAGGGCACCTTGACACGTGAGTTGAGGCAGAAAGTGAGAGCCCAGAGCATCCCCACCACACAGCACATGCCACAGAGCA